CTAATATTACCACCCAAGCAAACAAAAATATTTCTTAATCAGTGGAAACCGATACAGTGTTTTCTATCGGAATAAGCGCTTGCGTTCAGTCAATAAAAATCGAATAGTTCTTAATCTGTTTGAGAACTGAGAAAGACCATACCATATAGTCGTGGCCACATAACCACCTCCGGGAGTGCATTATTTCTCTAATAATTTTAACGGCCTAGTGTCCCAACCACACATCAAGACATTGTTCTGATCATTTGTTTCAAGTTTAATTTAAATGTGCAATTAAAATAAATAAAAATAAATGTATATTTTAAAGTTTAGAATTAGACAGCCTTGCGTTGTGTAGACAATTGCATAGTGCAAATGACCCCAACGCACCACCTAGTGTCCAACCTACTCTAATACTATTACAACCTGTTTAAATATGAACAAGGGATTTACAACATTAAAGAACCCCTTTATTTATAACATGTACATGACAGATGACAGATGTACATCTAAAAAACTAGCCTAGGGCCTATATTTGAGGCCTGTGCAGGGCTTTAAATCATGCTAGCAACACGCCAATCATGCTAGAAACCGGTTAGTCACTTGCTAATAATGCTAGCAACATGCTAGTCACTTGTTAATCAGGCTTAGCAACATGCTAGTAACATGCTAATCATGCCAGCAATGTGCTAGTAACAGGCTAATCATGCTAGAAACATGTTATCAACATCTATCTAATCTAACTACATTTTCAAACTTCAGGCTTTTACAACTGCTTTAAACTTTCAGGCTGGGCTTTCTACAGCCAACCTAAACTTTGTCTTGACAAACTTTTTTATCTAGTTTTGTACTTAATATACTAAAAATGATCAGGGGTGAAAGCAAAAACAAATCCTGAGCCTGAACATTTTTCCGGGGCTTGGAGGTTGCGGGGACACATACACAGGGTTATTTGGCAAACAAAGAAAGAAAATGATTTTCCTTGAAACTAGCTAGTAACGTATCTGCCCTTGCCATTAGCCCTCGACAGGCTCAGACTACAGATTATGGTGGATATCTGAAACGGCAATACCAGGAAAGCTTACTCACTACAATATGCTGCAAACACATGCAACATTTAGATGCTTCTGATATCAAGTTTAGCTGGTTAGCTTTGCCCTTGACAGAGTACAGGACGACCTACAATCTAAAACATGACATTTCTGAAATTGCTTTGTTCAAAAGAAATAATGGTAAAGTAAATACTAGGAAATGAATATAAAATAGGAAATACACAAAGACTAATTTACTACAGACAACTACAGTTCAGTTCAATTAACAACAATAAAAACATTAAAATGCTGCAAGAACTGGTAACTTAAACAGGGTTCATACAGACACTGCAAAATAACATTCCAGGACTACTCTTTTGGTTTTCAAAGACTAAAAGCAGATCTCACTTATCAATCAACATTGTTATTATCTTTCAAATTCTAATAAATTAACTAATAAAACAAAATGGAACAAATAAAGTGCAGCTCAAGCAAAGCATGCAATGACTGGCAACTTTAACATTTGAAAGGATGCTATGACAAAGTTATCGCTTTCCTTATTCAAAATGATTTTGTTTTCATGACTACATGATTGACCTGAAGAATGAAAGCTATAGCATACACTTGGAAAATCATGAGCTATATCACCGCTTATCGACTCGAGGGGTGTGACAATACACTTAGCTCACGAGATAAAATACAGATACTCGGTTCACTAGAACCAGACAATATTTTAATACTAAATATTTGTCTTTTAAATCACAAAAAGTAAAACAATGCAGTTGTATTTTGAAATGTTTTAACTAATCTAGTGCTAATCAAATAATCTGATATTTTGTAGTAATACAAATAGAACTAAGTGGAAAAACAGGCTTTAATATGACTATATTTATATATAAATTAATGATGAGGCAATAATAATTGGCTCAAATAAAATATCAAAACCAAGTGCATGGTTTTATTGAACAACAGTTAAACACAATGTAATATGCCTTTATTACAACAAATACCTGCAGAGGGCGCCAACGGCCTGGTGATGTTTCGTGTGATTCAGCGACGTTTACATCCATTTAATTTTAATATTTGGCCACATTAGAAACTAGAAACTTATTTTGAAGTCGCATATTTAGAAATATGTTGATGTATTCTCCTGTGTTGGCATAGGATTACAAATCAAGTGAGTTTTCCCAGATGAACGTTAAGCAACTCAAACTCCCCGCATAAGCAGAGGAAGAGTTCAGCCCCTTTCACACATACAGTCTTCACTGTATATGTAATATGACACTAGATGGAAATCTTTGACCATTGCGCCTCGCAGCTTTTTCCATGTGTCGCGCTCGAGACCCAGGCTAATGCTAATCATCAGCTAATGCGCGTCTCGTGTTTGTAAGAGCAAACACTTCTGATTGGCTAGTAATGTTAGTTTGGTTGAGAGTGAAAGCTGTGCTCCTCTCATACATTGGTAGGCGAACTCATGAACTCGAACGTGATATCAACAAGTGGTTTTAACGCTGCACGCCGGAGATCCGGCACGGTGCCGGAGAACTTTAAGCCCTGAATGATAGAAGTACAAAATTAGTGCGTGAAAATAGTGCACTTTAAGTATTGTGGAAGTGCACTTGTTTTTCACCTGGGATCTTGAGAAAAAGTCAGAAAAACAAGAAATGTCAGAACTGTGAGATGCAAACTTCAAATTACAAGAAAAAAAATTGCAAGATGTAAACAAAATTATAGAAAAGAAATCAGAATTGTGAGAACTCAGAATAACTCAGAATTATGAGGAAAAAAATTAGAATTGCAAGAATTGCTCAAAGTCACGAGAAAAGTCAATTGCAAGACGTAAACTCATAATTATGAAAAAGGCAGAATTGTGAGATGTAAATGCATTTATTACAGCTCAAATAATAGTACAAAAGCATATATACAACACTCAAATGGAGTCGAAACAAGAGGTTTAACTGCAGTAAGGCCACACACAGAGAAACGACGTGCCTGCAGCTGAACTGGGTTACTCTGGCCTTCACAAGCCGTTCAGTCCTCTGAGCTGGTGTGAGTGCGGCGCTGGCAGTGCTAGTCTGGGCACAAACGGCCAGGTATGGTCAGATTTACTCATGCATAATGTGTGTAACGGATCGCCAGAATAACCCAGCAGACAATAAAAGACTAGCATGTGAATGAAGCCTCAGGAAACCCAAGCTCAGACATGACCACACAGCTTGTCTAATTAACTCCAATCATAACAGTTTATTAAAGCTGAACACAAATGACATTTTGGCCCTGTGAAATCAGTTTTATTTACTTTCAATTTTATGATTTTCTATTTTCCAGGATTCCATTTTAGTTTAAATTAGATTTTAGTAATAATAAAGTAGTGCTTAAAAAGCACGTCTAATTCCTTGAAATTTAATAAGCAATAATAATACAATTTATTATAAGTTTAACAAAAATGTTATTTATTCTTCTCAGTCCCAAATTTAGTTTTCCTTTATAATTATCCGAGTCCATTTGAATGGCTTACTTACATTTTTGTAATAACATTTTAACAGTCTAATAACGCATTAACATATTTACACAATAGTGCCCTATGAAAGCTATTATTTTGATTTATGATTTAATGCAAATTTATTATTGATGGCGAGCAAATAACGGCATAAAACCTTTACTTTTTTAAAAGAATAATTAAATTGTCAATGTTTCATCCCTCCAGCTGATGACGCTTTAAAAGACTAATTAAATGATCAAAAATAGTTTTTCACTTCTGGCTTCAAAACACAGGTCTGATAAAAATGGTGCGATGCTCCTTTAAAAGTGTTAATAAACTCTTCTTACTTTAAGAAGCTCATTGTACAGTGGTCATAACTGCTCGGTGTTCTCAACAGTCATTGGTCGGCGAGGCTGTGGGTCCTGCGCAGTGATTGGCTGAGCCGCTCAATAAGGCACTGAGTGAGACGTTACAGTCGGAAGTCCTCAGGAATACACAGTGTGTTAGGTGGGGTGTCCGGACAGAAAGCCCGTCTGGTGTGTGCTGGAGAAGATGGACATGAAGCGCTCGTCGTCGATGGAGCTGAGCACCTCCAGGTCGTCCAGGACAGTCGCGCTCTCGCTCTGGAGGAGGCTGGGAGGGAAGGACGTCCAGGCGGAGCCGCTCTGGCCCAGCAGCGCCTGGAACTCCTCGGTGTTGATGCTGTCCACGTCGGAGCAGCTGGGGAAGGCGTCCTGCGGGGCGCTCGGGGGCTCCGCCGGGATGAAGCTGCTCGGGGGGAAGTCCTGCAGGTCCGACAGGTTCACCGTGGAGAAGACCGGAGGGACCGGAGGCTTGGGCTGGGAGTCCACCGTCACACTCTGCAGGAGCTTCCACGGGTCGCCGCTGCAGCTGGAGCTCGGCAGATCCAGTCTGAGCGGACTCTGAGCGAACAGCTGCCCCGGGCCAGGAGTGAAGAAGGAGGACACACCTGCAGACGCCGCTGAAACACACAGAGACGCGCTTTACACGCTACAGCTGCAGCACTACACCAGTCACGAGATACAACTGTGAGAATCTGGAATCTGAGGGTGCAAAAAAATCTAAATATTGAGAAAATCATCTTTAAAGTTGTTCAAATGAAGTTCTCAGCAATGCATATTACTAATCAAACATTAAGTTTTGATATATTTACAGTAGGAAATCTACAAAATATCTAATGTAGCACAGTTTTCACAAAAATATAGTTCAGCACAAACCTTCTTTTTAACCAAGTGACGGGTGGAAATTATTTTCTGTGTCATCAACATTATGCCACAAATGCTGTTGGAAATAACCCAGTTCTGTGACTTATCAAGTCAATTCATTAATATAGTGCTTTTCACAATCAGCTTTACAGAAGAAAAAAAAGATGTTAAAGGAATAGTTCACCCCAAAAACAAAATGTGCTCACCTTCAGATCATCTGAGATCAGGATGAGTTTGTTTCTTCATCAGGTTTGTAGAAATGTAGCACTGCATCAGTGTCTCAGCAATGGATGCTCTGCAGTGAATGGGTGCCGTCAGAATGAGAGTCCAAACGATGCTGGATTAGTTTCAGCTTTAGTCTTCTCCAGATATTAACTGATGGACTGGAGTGCTGTGGATTATTGTGATGTTTTTATCAGCTGTTTGGACTCTCATTCTGACGGCACCCATTCACTGCAGAGCATCCATTGCTGAGACACTGATGCAGTGCTGCATTTCTACAAACCTGATGAAGAAACAAACCCATCCTGATCTCTGATGATCTGAGGGTGAGCACATTTCCAGCACATGCTCATTTTTAACTATTTCTGTAACTCCTAATCATCCACATGAATCAGTTTAGATCTGGTTAACTGGTCACCTGCTGGGAGGCTGCTGGCGGCTGTGGGTTTAGAGATGCCTAGTGTTCGTTTAGCTGTACTAAACGGCCGTCTGTCTGCAGGCATGGAGGATCCTGCACATAAAGCACACACACTGATTATTACCCAGAGCTCTGTGTGTTCAGTAGCAAGTTGAGCTGACACACACACACTCTCTCACACACACACTCTCTCTCTCTCACACACACACACACACACACTCTCTCTCACACACACACACACACACACACACACTCTCTCTCACACACACACACACCTGTGATGATGCTGCTCAGTTTGAGGTTCTGCAGCATCCCCTCTGTTCTCTTGCGCTTCTCCATCAGATGGTGCTCATCTGCACAGAACAAACAATATATCGGATCACGACTCTTTTCAGAAATATCACGATTCACGGTTTCATCACCATTCTTTGTCATGTTGGTTTACTGTTATGCAACTTGTCTGAGCAGTACAGCCAAACTAATTTCCCTGTTATAAAGACAAAGCCTTTCAAGGTAACAAAATATTAAAAAAATTTAAAAAGGCAGATATTTACGTCAAAGTGAAGGCGAAGATAAAAAAATATTTGTCATTTTTATATCTTTGTTATTAAAAAATAAGGACAAATATACACATTACAACTAGGGCTGGACGATATGGCCAAAATGTATATCACGATATACAGGTATTTCTTAATTTCGGTCGATACGATATAATTCCGATATCGATATGAACACTATTAAAAAAGCCTAATAAAAACGTCCAAGAACGGCCACAACAGATGTCTGTTCCTACAAACTTATGAAAAATTAATTTGCCAACTCTATGAAACCTACTCCTATAAAACTATATAATATTTTAGGAAAAAATGGCGCAAATAAATAAATGTTCACCTTTTATTGGTATTTAGCCTTCATACAAACAAGAAATGTGAAATCACTGTCAAATAAATCTCAGACTCTACTGATTAATATTAAATGTTTTTACTTCAAACTATAGGCTAACATACCAGTCAAAAGTTATTGAACAGTAAGATTTTTCATGTTTCTTAAAGAATTCTCTTCTGCTCACCAACCTGCTGTCACGAATCCGGTCCATGAACTTCCGTCTGCTGGCCATCAGAGGTCACCCTTCCCATTTTCATTGACTCTCGCACTCACACTGTTGCATATCATCCCGGACTACATATCCCATCATCCACAGCACTGATTGCACACAGCTGGTTCACTAATTGCACACAACACTGATTGCACCCAGCTGTTTCATATCACTCCCTCACTGTTTAACACTCACTCTGATCCCTTCCCTCGGCCGAGTATTGTTTAGTGCCTACCATTTGATAGCTACTCTACAGAGCCCCGTTAGCCTCCTAGCCTAGTTTTGCCTTGCCTGTTTTCTCAGTTTTGATCTTCGCCTGTTTTTCTGGATTTCTCCCTTTAGTCTCGCCCCTTTTGATTCTGTTTGCTGTTCATCGACCTACGCTAGCCCTAGGATTATTCTTGTGTCTTGCCCGCCATATACCTGTTTGCCACTGTTTGACCCTGCCTGTGTTTCTGACCTCTCTGCTCAATAAAGCTTTGCATATGGATCCGCATGTCTCACGTCTCGTCAGCCCCGTAACAGAATACTCGGCCACACAAGGATCCAGCGGCTTTTCAAGTGGACATTGGCCAGGTATGGACACTGCAAGGCTGTTGTTAGCCCTCGAGCAGGGCACATGCTCGCTTGAGACTTACATTCAAGAATATCTGGACATTGCTTATTACTCTGATTTCCCGGATTATGTGTTGATAGACTTTTTCTATGAGGGCATTAATCAGCCACTAAAATCTAAACTCATTCTCGAGGGTCCGCGTTCATCACTGAGTTGTTTTTTGGACTTTGCGTTATTGACTGTAGGCTCTCGATTCACTGAGGGTATCGCGGAGGAACGCAACCCCACATTCACTTCTGTAATGGCCCCGCACTAGATTGCGTTCACAAAATGGCGGTGACCGAGGAGCCTGATCACAAAATGGCGGACACAACAGCGCCCCGTCAAGTCACATTTGATCTTCTTGAGTCGAGTCTAATCACAGTTGATCATCACGAGTCAAATCTTCTGTGAGGGCATTAATCAGCCACTAAAATCTAAACTCATTCTCGAGGGTCCGCGTTCATCACTGAGTTGTTTTTTGGACTTTGCGTTATTGACTGTAGGCTCTCGATTCACTGAGGGTATCGCGGAGGAACGCAACCCCACATTCACTTCTGTAATGGCCCCGCACTAGATTGCGTTCACAAAATGGCGGTGACCGAGGAGCCTGATCACAAAATGGCGGACACAACAGCGCCCCGTCAAGTCACATTTGATCTTCTTGAGTCGAGTCTAATCACAGTTGATCATCACGAGTCAAATCAAGTCACAGTTTATGATCATGAGTCAAGTCTAGTCACAGCTGATCGTCCTGAGTCGAGTCTAGTCACAGTTGATCGTCATGGGGCAAATCAAGTCACAGTTTATGATCATGAGTCTAGTTAAGTCACAGCTGATAGTTATGAGTCAAGTCAAGTCGCAGCTGATTGTCATGGGTCAAGTCACAGCTGATAGTTATGAGTCAAATCAAGCCACAGTTTATGATCATGAGTCAAGTCAAGTCACAGCTGTTCTTCGTGGGTCAAGTCACAGTTCATTATTATGAGTCTAGTCTAGTCACCGCTGATCTTCCTGAGTCAAGTCTAGTCACAGCTGATCTTCATGAGTCAAGTC